GATGTTAGAAGCAATGTTACAGTGAACCTTCTTCAAGTAGTTAACTATTATTATTCCGTAGGTGAAATCCCTATGTTGGAATAGCCAGGTGTTAACGATATGCGTGTGTTTAGTGCTTTTATTACAGTTTATCTGGTTACCCTGAAATCCTGTACCAGTTTTACATTCCTTGCAACATAAGAGTCGTTGTCCCCTCTCCCTCCGCCAACCTATGTTTGCTACAGGGTATTTTATCTTTTTCCGTATCTCTGCCAGTTTTGGTAGAAGAGTGGCAGCTCATGATTTTTCTTTGCATTCATTATTACTAGTAAGAATAAATGATTTTACATCTGTTTCTTGACCATTGAGCAATCTTTTTATGCAGTTTGCCTGTTCAAGTCCTTTAACAGTTTTTCTGATGGTGTATTCAACATTTTTTTTTAATCTGCAGGAATTTTTAAATACATTGATAGTATTAATCATTTGCCTTAAATATTGCTACTGTTCCCAATTTGGTACTGCCTGGTTTATTTTATTTATAATTCTTTCTGTTTTACAGAAAATTTATATTCTTTTGTATTCAGATTAGATAAATGAATTATCTGAGTCTCAGTATTCTCTTCTGTAAGGTTGGGATAGTGTACATAAATTAACTGCTATGGGATTTTTGTTCAACAAATGATAGCTTTTGCCATTCTCTTTTGATACACTGAAATAGACCAGAATCACCTAAAATTTTTACTAGAAGTACAAAACATACCCAAAGATGTTTAAACTGGATATGAAATGTATAAGAAGGGAAACTCCAAATCCTTTATACTGTATAGACAGGAAATTGAATTTTTTCTTCTTTACTTTTCTAATTCTTATCCTTAAAATAAATTTAATGAACTCCAATTGCTATATCTCCTTAAGTAGAAAAACCTGAAGTCTGAGTGGAGAAAGGGGAGGGTGAGAAAAACAGTGTCTTCTTCTTTTTTTTTTTGGTGCCACTGAACCACATCCCCAGCCCTTCTTTATATTTTTATTTAAAGACAGGGATTCACTAAGTTTCTTAGGACCTTGCAAAGTTGCTGAGGCTGGCTTTGAACCTGCAATCCTCTGGCCTCAGCATCCCGAGCCCCTGGGATTGCAGGCATGCACCACTGTGCCCAGCCAGAATAGTATTTTCTTACAAGTTATTTGTTAAGGAATTTTGAATACTTATTTCTCACAAGGATTTCTTTCATGGTATCCTTTTTTATTTTATATCAATCTAGACACATCTACAAAAGTCCAAAGCATACATTAGCCCTTTCTGCTTTTCAGACTATATGAAGATGGGGTCCCATCCTCCAGAGCAGTAGAACTTTAGTTCAGTTGCTTACTTACTCCCTTGAGGCCAAGTACAAGTTGGCATAAATTGTTAACAGTCATAAATGACATAAACTGCTTCTATAAACTGTTTTTTAGGCTACTTAACACCAATATTTAAATTTTTTGTTGTAGATAGACACAATATCTTTATTTTTTTTAATTTAATTTATTTTATGTGGTGCTGAGGATGGAACCCATTGTCTCATGTGTGCAAGGCAAGTGCTCTACCACTGAGCCACAGCCATAGCCCCAACACCAATATTTTTTTAGTTTGCATTTTGTAAATTCTAAGTGACTTTTGGTAGTATTATAGAATTTTTATAAGACACTGTTACAATAAAATAATTTTGTTATTTTATATAAAATTTCACAGTTTGTGAAATCACATAGTAAATTCACAGATTTTATTTTAGTAAATTCACAGACTTAGAGGATATGGTCTGAAGATATTCTATTGAGCCACATTTTAATATTTTATTATATTAGAACAAAGGGTAAGAGATCACCATTGAGGAAGTTTGTAAGCTATTGTTGTTTATTCACCAAATAGGTATTTGGAAACCCGTCATCTGTCTTAGTTATTTTTCAGAATTCATGGCTATCCTAAGGAAAGGTTAACTTTTTGTATGTGTGATACTGGCATTCTACAACTGAGCTATATCCTCAGTCATTTTTATTTTATTTTGAGACAGATTCTCACCAAGTTACTGAGACTGATCTCAAACTTGGGATCCTCCTTCCTCAGCTTCCCATATTGCTGGGATTATATGCACACACCACTATGCCCAACCCAAGGAGAGGTTAACTTCTAAAACCAGCAAACATTCTGGGTGACTGACATAACTCTCTCCTATCCATAATCCTTAAAAAGTAGATCACTTTTTATTTATTTATTTTTTTATTTTTTATTTTTATTTTTTGGGTGCAGTGAACTTTATTGATGGTATGTGACAATAAGGCTCCCTAAGCCCCTCCCCTTCTTCAGGGGATCTAGGATGGAAATTGGGAAGGGGGGAGATTCTCAGTGAGTTGAGGGACTGAGTTAGGGGCAGGGACTCCCCAGCAGCTGAGGGCCTCTCTCTTCCTGTGTTCTTGCTGGGGCAGGTGGTCCAGGGGCTCTTACTCCTTGGAGGCCATGTGGACCATAAGGTCCACCACCCTGTTGCTGTAGCCAAATTCATTATCATACCAGGAAATGAGCTTAACAAAGTGGTCGTTGAGGGCAATGCCGGCCCCAGCATCAAAAGTGGAAGAGTGGGTATCACTATTAAAGTCGCAGGAGACAACCTGGTCCTCCGTGTAGCCCAAGATGCCCTTGAGGGGGCCCTCTGATGCCTGCTTCACCACCTTCTTGATGTCATCGTATTTGGCAGCTTTCTCCAGGCGGCAGGTCAGATCCACAACTGACACATTGGGAGTGGGCACACGGAAAGCCATGCCAGTGAGCTTCCCATTCAGTTCAGGGATGACCTTGCACACAGCCTTGGCAGCACCAGTGGATGCAGGGATGATATTCTGGGCAGCCCCACGGCCATCACGCCACAGTTTCCCAGAGGGGCCATCCACAGTCTTCTGAGTAGCAGTGATGGCATGGACTGTGGTCATGAGTCCTTCCACAATGCCAAAGTTGTCATGGATGACCTTGGCCAGGGGGGCTAAGCAGTTGGTGGTACAGGAGGCATTGCTGACAATCTTGAGGGAGTTGTCATACTTCTCATGGTTCACGCCCATCACAAACATGGGGGCATCAGCAGAAGGTGCAGAAATGATGACCCTTTTGGCACCACCCTTCAAATGAGCCCCGGCTTTCTCCATGGTAGTGAAGACACCAGTGGACTCCACAACATATTCAGCACCAGCCTCACCCCATTTGATGTTGGCGGGATCTCGCTCCTGGAAGATGGAGATGGACTTTCCATTGATAACAAGCTTCCCGTTCTCAGCCTTGACTGTGCCATGGAATTTACCATGGGTAGAATCGTACTGGAACATGTAGACCATGTAGTTGAGGTCAATGAAGGGGTCATTGATAGCGACAATATCCACTTTGCCAGAGTTGAAAGCAGCCCTGGTGACCAGGCGCCCAATACGGCCAAATCCGTTCACTCCGACCTTCACCATCGTGTCTCAGAGATGCGACTGGCACTGCACGAGACGGGAAGAAGTGGCTGCCTGTCGAACGGGGAGGAGCAGAGAGCCTAGATCACTTTTTAAATAGTTGTGTTTGTGAACATTCTCATTGCAAGGTGGAATGATTACAAGTGATATCTAAAAACATACATGAGATTTCATGGGCATTGATGTTGCCCTTAGCTTATAAAATTTCTTGATACATTTAAATTAATTTTTGTCTATAGTCACTTTTTCTGAAGTGTCATTTTATTATTTTAATGTAGCTTATTCAATTGTTAATACAAAACTTCATGAAATTCAAATAGTATTACAAAGTTAACCATTGCAAATATTTTTAAGATCTTTTGTGGTGAAGTAGTTACTACTTGGAATATAGTAATTCCAAACCCTTCATAATGATAACGTGCTTGCTGCATTTTAAAGAAATTTGCTCTAGAACAGTTGAAGAATCAGTTGTTTATGTGTAAAATGCCAGCCACCTGGTAAGTATCCCCAGGGAGAATGATTTTCTCTAATTTAAACTTAGTCTAAAGAAAAGATAACCTCTTGTATTAATTTTCAGTAAGACTTTATTAAAGTACATATCCAGAATCTAGTTCAGTTGCTTTTAGAACTAGTTAAGAGTGATTTGCCTGTCAAAATTAAACATATTGGCAGGTCATCCTGTCTATATTTGTATGTAGAATTGGAGTAAAACTTACATTTTCACTTGAAGTGTTTTTTTGAACAGTTTCTTTCTTCTAGCAGTTATATTATTTTATTGACTGTTAATTTATCAACTCATTTAAAAAAATGTGAGAGGAAAAAAAGGCCACAGCATTATCACATTTCTATATATGTGTTCCCTAAACCATATGGTGATTTCTAATTAGAATACAAAAGATTGTGTGATGAGACTAACTTCATAAGTAGCTGTGATGGTGGGCATCACAGAGAGAGTTTTTTCCTGGAATTTCCAAAAAGGACACTTTTGAGAGAAACTGTGGTCTGTAATTGTCCTTATACTAGAAGTCTGATAAAGTTATTGATGTGTAGATCAAGTTGGTATTTCGAAGCTAGTAATTTAACTCTGGATGCTTGATCCTCACAGTCAGTAGCTTGACTTGATTTTTCTTTTTTTTTTTTTAAAGCAGCTTCAATATTTAATTTCACATGTACCCTCTCACTAGAGACTTTGCTAGATGCTTGACTGCCTTGTCTATTTGCTCTTGTTTTGCATGCAAGAGAGAGCCAGAAGCTTTCTTCTCATTGTGTACACATAGTATTAATGGATTTACTCTGCCTGTATCGTCTCATTACTGGAAACAGCTAGAAGCACAGAAGTCTTTCAGTGTATGCAAATAAGGCAGAATCATCTACCTGAGAGTTAATATTCTCTGCTTTTAAGTGTATTCTAAATCTAATGTTTGTATTTAGAGCATAACATCCTGTTCTCTTTTTTTATGGGCAAAAAGCTAAGCAGGCTCAGGCAGCTGTTTGATGTTGGCTTCAAGTGTTATTAATTTCATATTCTATTATTCTTTTCACTGTAGCACAAGTGAAGCTGATGTGGAGGCTGTCATGGATAAGTTGTTTGATGAGCTGGCTCAGAAACAAAATGATTGTACGTAAGTTAATTTCTCTTGAAAGAGAATACATTTAGAACACAATGCCCAATCTCCACTGACCAATTAATAAGTTCCATTGCTGTATATGGGTTGATGCCACGCTCAAGTGGCAGTCATTGTATCAGCATTTTGTCTAATTTATGTGTTGAATCATGTGCTATTATTCATCAAGCTATGCATTTCCTATCTGTAAGAGATGAATTTTATAGTAATTATCCAGACAAGATTGAGTCTTTGTTCATGTTCCCATAGTAACTAGACCAAGGATTCTAAAAGTGCAAGGCAGAGAGCTGCGGCTGAATAAAGCCTGTGGAACCGTTGCCGACTGCACATTTGAAGAGCTGTGTGAGAGAGTAAGTATTCAGGCACGTCCAGACTCATTGGCCTTTTCACATGTTAAAATACTTCATGTTTTCCTCTGCCTCTTTCAGATTTTAAAATACTATTCACAGAGTCAGAACTGTTTTTAAAGTCTCATTAAGGGAAATACTCATCTATATTTTCCATGTGCTTTTTATAGATGTTGGCATGAAATTTGCTCTTAGAGGGGCTCTAAAGCAAAATTAGAAATGCAGAGAGAACTGTCAACTGTTGCTGAGAGCAAAAATAAAATCAGTTTAGAACTATTTTGTAAAAGTCGCACATGAGGGATTTTTTAAAAATTCAAAGTGAAGTTAATATGTGGGAAAAAGAAAGATGGAGTAATATCACCTTGTTCTACAAAACGTGACATAAAGAATTCTCATTCTTTTACCCATTGCTCATTTGCTATACCATCATATCTGACCTTTTTTTTAGGCCAGGGTCAAAGAAAGTGAATTTCTAAAACTGTGATATCTCTACTATGTCAGAAATAACACATTCCACAAATAAAATACATGCATATACATACATTCAGGTAAGAAAGACTTCACCGGTCCTGGTGGTACTCACTTTAATCCCAGCAACTTGGGAGACTGAGGCAGGAGGGTCACAAGTTCAAGGCCAGCCTCAGCAATTTACTGAGTCCTTGTCTCAAAATAAAAAATAAAATGGGCTAGGGATGTAGTTCAGTGATAGAGTGCCCTTGAGTCAGTACTGCAAAGAAAAAAAAAAGGAAGATTTTGCAGATTCATTTTAGATATGATATGAATTCTGGCTTTTCAAAATTCTGGAATTCTCAGTATTCAGTGGATATTTAGTGTGTTTACTCATGAAAATCTTGAGAGAAACAAATCCAAATTAGATACAACTTTAACTCCTTAACTGACATTTAGAAATTATCACTCCAGTTGGCCTCTGATTTATTTAGACTTTTAAGTAACTAAAGAAGAGTTTGCCAGTAAGAGGAAATAGAAAGTACTTATTTATACCTACCAGCCATTTTATGAGTACTCTTCTTGAAAATTAATGACTTAATTACTTCTAACCAAAAGTAATATTTAAACCAGAGAGATGAATCCAATCTACAGTCATTTAGCACTTCAGAACCAATGAAGTTTGTGATCAATTAGGATCCTTTGACAGAGTGGTAACACTAGACTCTGTTAGCAATCCCATTCTGGCTGATGTAGACTCTTCAGACTTCTACTGGACTTGTCTCATTAAGGTCCTAATAACCTAGTAACTTCAGACAAAATTCTTTCAAAGTCTTCGTTCAGGTTTTACTCACTTTACCAGTGAGAAATGCACTTGAGCGGAATCTTGTGCATTCAAAAGATACTTTCCTACTGCAGAAAGGCACCCCACTGAGGAGAAGGAAAGGACAAGAGGGGCCAGGCCAGTGGTGCAGATGACTCAGGAAGCTGAGGCAAGAGGATTGCAAGTTCAAAGCCAGCCTCAGCAACTTAGGTCCTAAGCGACTTAGTGAGATTCTGTCTCAAAATAAAAAATAAAAAGGGCTGGGGATGTGGCTCAGTGGTACAGTACCCTGGTTTCAATCCCTGGTTTACCTCCACACCACCCCCCCCCCCCTAAAAAAGGAAAGGACAGGAGGGTGCAAGGGTGCTCTCTTGGAGCAAATACTGAGCATTTCTCTGTATTGTTTTTTATATGCTCAGGAGACTGTTATATTCTTTCAGGAAACTTACCGTCCAAAAAAAGGCTACCTAGAACCAAAATCTTCATTGTCTGTTTACTGTATGATGGTGATGGGAAGAAGGTTAATTGGGATTTCATCTTGAAAAATGAAAATAAGACTTGTAAAAATAAGTCGCTTTTATTTTATTTGACAAAATGTGGATTTTTAATAGCTATGAATTAAACTCTTAGAATAAACAGTGAACGAATTTGTGTTTATTTTTGGCATAACTTTCTTGACAAATTCTAGGGTGATAAACTCTTCATGGTTTGGTTGTTCAGTCACACAGAAAATCATTTTTATAAAGACATTTAAGGATTTCATCCATTTTCTTGAAATCCTTTAACTTTATGACTATTTGAATTAATTGTTTTCTTTTAAAAAAATGTTTTGTTTTAATTAGTTATACATCATATATAATGGAGTATAATTTTTCATTCTTCTGGTTGTACATTATGTAGAATCACACCAGTCCTATAGTTACATATGTACATAGGGTAATAATGTCTGATTCATTCTACTATCTTTCCTACCCCCATGCCCCCTCCCCTCCCTTCATTCCCCTCTACCTAATCTAAAGTAACTCTATTCTTCCCCTAGCCACCCGCCTCATTGTGTTTTTCTTTTGAAGTTTTCATGGTGTCATTATCTCTGTTGATTTTTTTCTTCTTCAGGTTAGACAGATCCTAATCAGTGACTTTTGCATCCATAGATTTGCCCTTTATCTACATTATAATTATCAGATGTTTACTATATCAACCACCTCTGAATAATCAACAAAAGACACTCACATGAGCGTTAGGGTTAGTTCCCAGTATTAAGCTATGAGCGGTGTTTGAGGAAAGGCTAAATTTTTAAGTGGTCAGTTCATTTGGGACTGTCTTCTTGTTACAGTGATTTTGCATTTCTTTGCAGCCTTATAATTCTGACAATCCAGATATTGAAAACTTATGTGAAGAGGACCCTTGAAATCATTCAACTTCAGATGTGGCCTAAAACTGTTAATTAATTATAATGATCTTATGAGCCAGGGTAAATACTTGCCCAAAAAAATTCTGTAAAGAAAATATTGCATTCATACCAAGATAAAGAAATAGGCATGTGGTGTGACTGGGATGGTCCCAGCTTTAGATTGCATAAGTTGGTCTTTTGGAAGGCTTTTGAAGCCCAAAATCCATTCAGTGTCCACTACTGATGTCATGGTGAAAAAGACCTTGACAAGGAATGAATGAGCAGACAGTTTGTAATTATTATTTTTAAGCCATGGCTCTTTCCAAGGAAGAAACTAATATGTTCTTAGACTTTTAAATATACTAGGTAGAAACTTACCTATTAGTTTCATAATAAGGTAAAAGAAGATTTTAACTAGAAGTTCCTGCTGTGAGTCAAAGGCAAAAGACCTTAGGCATTCTGCTTTTTATGTGTCTCTTTCTTCCCTGTTCCAAATGCAGTCTCTAGGGTCTGTAATCTTTTAGATTACCATCTAGCTTCTTGGTATCTCTGGGATTCTTTTTTTTTTTTACAAGTCTATAATTCATCGCTGTCATGCTCAGAGAAGCAGTTCCAATGAGGAAACCCTATAGCACCTTCATAATAATAATAGCTAACAGAGCTATGCATCAAGTGCATTCTAAGCACTGTTATGTATTAATTTATTTAATACTTAAAATAGGTATCGTTGAGGAGCCAAGATGTTATTTTCCTAGGGTTACACAGCTGGTAAGTGGCAAAGCCCAGGCTTGAACTCCTTGGTAATTTGGGAGCCAGATTCTGGTCAGTTTTTTTTTTGTTGTTGTTGTTGTTGTTGTTTTTCTTTTTAAATCACTACATGATATCTGAAAATGTTCTGGACAAGTTCTGCTTCAAATCATTAAAATAATTCAAATTCTGCTGTGAAGTCCAGTCAGATACTTTGTGAATTTCTACATCTAAGCTAAGCTTTGAGACTTTTGTGGAGCATGAAGCTGGCTGGGGAACAGACACCCTCCAATCCTGAGAGCCCACCTCTATGCTGAGAATGTTAGCACAGAGCACAGAGCTGTCCAAACCACATGCCTTTGCTTATCCACTGTGAATCAATACAGCTATTGACCCCTGCATCCTCCTGAAGGCTGTGTCTGACCTGTACCTCCAGGATGGGGGCTGTAAGCATTTGGCAGCTTTCATCCTTTTTACTCTTTAATAAAAATGTTACTATTTTCTGTCCCTGCCATGATATGAAAAAGATTGTGAAGTGCTGCATTAGAGAAGTGTGGGTGGGTAAAGGAAAGCATGTTTGAGTGGTTTTTGTTCCCTGCCATTCCCTCTGTATGAGAGCTGTAGTAAAGAAAAATGAAGCTGATTCATCTCTCTGGACATGCTGTGAGCTTTCAGGCTTTCTTCCTTACCTTGGCCTTATTATGTGGCTTCATCAGAGGGTAGTGGAGAAGTCAGAATTATAGTTACTTAAGCCAGCGGTTCTCAAAATGTGGCTCATAGACCTTGAGGGGTTCCTGAGATCCTGACTTCAGATGTCTCTGAAGTCCAAACTCTATGTGAATCCTAGGACACTTCTTGCCTTTTTCTTTTTCACTGTGGTGACATTTATAGTAATGGTGCTAAAGGAACATTAGGTGACACTGCTGAATCAAGTGTGAACCAAAACTGTGGCAGCAAACCATATTGCATTCTTCATTGCCCATGTACTCACAGTAAAAACCAACAGCAACAAAACAACAACAAAAAACCCAGTTCCATTTAAGTATATCCTTGAAAAAGCAGAAAAAACTATTAATTTTGTTAAATCTCAACGTGACATTCCTTTTTCAGTATTCTTTGTGACAAATGGGAAATTCCTATAATGAAACACTTATGCCAAATACAATGAAGGTCTTGGGCAAAAGCACTCAGGTCTGTAATCTTTTGAGTTGCAAGCTGAACTAGCCACTTACCCCCATGCCCACCCCATAAGATACCATTTTGCTTAAAAGACTTAGTGATAGACAAACTGGTTTTTGGCAGACATTTTCTTACAATGTTTGATAGACATTTTCTTGAAAAATGAATGAAGTAAGATTGTCATTTCAAGTAAAACAACTGACAATATTTATTACCAGTGATAAAATTTGAGCAAACAAATGAAAACTAAAATTTTGGATAACTTGTTGCTTCCATCATAAACTTGGCAGCTTTCCAATTCTTAAATATTTTTTTCTGATGACATTAATGGTGATATTAACAAATGCAGTGTTTTTATAATAAGATAACTAAATGTGTTAACATTTGAAAGGTCTAACTTATTAAATTAATGTTTTC